GAGCTGACTGGCAAACGAGTCTGGTGAAACGACACGAGTCTCTGTCATGGCCCCATCCACATGCAAACACACGCACACACTGCATCCTTTGCGGAAAGGGGACATGAAATCTCCCAGCCAGGTGTGGGTGGTGGGACTGAGGGAAAACTGAGGAAGTGACTATACCAAGAACGGAAGTTAGCTCAGATCTGCTCCTGAAGCAAGAAAGCAAATCCTCATGAGAACTGAAAGGGCCACAGAACCTGCAGCACGAGGAGGGGTGGCCCAGAACACAAGAGACCACCGTCAGATACAGGACTTGGGTTGGCCCCTGCCAACATCCCAGCCAAATCCACTGGTACCAACCTCTGGCCATTCTTACCACGGAGGCCAAGGGTCTACCTGGGCAAAGAGATGGACCGCGACTCACAGCATCATTTTAAGACACGGCTGAGACTAAACACCAAGTTCCCATCCAGGAATAAGGGGTCAATACGGCACCAGGACACTCTCCAGTTTCTACCCTTCCCTCCTTGACCTCAGAAAGCACGCAGGCCCTGGGGGAGGGTCCTCGGGGCCTTACTGAGTCACGGCAGATGAGTTCGAAGACCAAAAAGAAGGAACATGCTTTGGTAAAGCTCAGATGGGAACGTGCAAGCCTGAGGACAGAAGGCAAAGTAACAACACTTGAAAGTCTCCACCGCTCAGCTGTGTAAACAAATAAAATGGTCCATTTCTTCTGGAGCCTCTCCTGGTTGTCTTTGCGCACACACACAAGCATGTGCATGTGCATACACACACACACACACACACACACACACACACACACACACGCACACACCACTTCACATCTTAAAAGAAAAACAACCAAGAAAGGTCTACACAGTTTGTTTTTGCTGTGTGTGGAGTTATTTTTTCCTAAATCACATCTGACTTGGTGTGAAAACATCAACCTTTGGCCAAAATACTCTTAAAACAAAGGCTTAATTGGTTCTGAAATAGCCCTTCTGAAAACCAAGGGAAATCTCTTCTGTGGGTCTTGACCTTGATTACAACACTGCTCTTGGGGCTGGAATAATGACGAGTGGGGGAGTCCAGGAAGAGCTGTCTTCAGGGAGGCAACAGGGATGCCTACACATTCATCCACAGTCACCTGCAGGGCGGCTCTCTGGAAGGCACCGGCAGTGTGCGGGTCCACCTCTGCACTCAGCCTGCAAAATCTTCCCAGGTTAAGGGAGACGGTGGGAGGAGTTCCTAGGAACTGGGGCCAAAAGCCAAACCGGCCTCTGAGCACACGTAGCTCATTTTACTGCTCCCCTATGTATCACTCACACACATACAACCACTGAGCCAGCGCACTTCAGGGACGACACTTGAAATCCAGTGTTCACATCTCTCTCAAAAGATCAATGCAAAGCTAAACACACGTATTACCCTGTGTCTCTCCAAGGCCACTCTTGGATATGAAGAACAGAGACGGACACACATATTCCTCCAAAAGATGTGGGTGAGAATGTTACTAGGACCTTATTCACAGTAGCAGAAAATGCGAGGCAATCCAAAACTCCAGGAACATAGAAAGGATGTGCACAATGTGTCATAGTCCTACGGAGAATACTGATGGCAATAAAAAAGAACAAACTAGTGCCACATACAATAACAGGAATAAAAGTCAGATATAATGCTGAGTGGGGTCAGACAGGAGACAATCGATTCTGTACAATCCCATCCCTATGAAGCTAAAAACCAGGCAAAACTCGGGGCGCCTGGGTGGCTCAGTCGGTTGAGCATCCGACTTCGGCTCAGGTCATGATCTCGCGGTCTGTGAGTTCGAGCCCCGCGTCGGGCTCTGTGCTGACAGCTCAGAGCCTGGAGCCTGCTTTGGATTTTGTGTCTCCCTCTCTCTCTGCCCCTCCCCACTCACGCTCTGTCTCTCTCTGTCTCAGAAATAAACATTAAAAAAAAATTTTTTTTAATAACAGGCAAAACTAATCCATGGCGATAGATAAAATTATTCCATGTGAGAATTGGCGGGGGCAGGGTGGGAGGGTGGAGGGGTGGGGCTAGGGTTTTCAGGGTGGAGGGTTGGAAGCCAGATGACTGGGAGGTGAAGGGCATACGCAAGACATCTGGGGGGTTGGTAATATTCTCTCAGGGGCCAGCAAACCACAGTCTGTGGGCCAAATCCAGCCACTGTCAACTCTTACAAATAAAGTTTTATTGGGACAAGGCCACATCTATTCTTTTAGGTATTATTTTTAGCTCCTTTTGCATCACGGTGGCAGAGTTGAGTAGCTGCCACAGAGATTATAGGGCCTGTGAAGAGAAAAATGTTTACCAGTTAGCCCTTTACAGAAAAAGCGTTCCAACTCCATTCCACATATTGGTCAGGGTGATGGTTTCGTGGGTGTTCACATGTGTAAAAGTTGGTCCACCTCTCCACTAAAGACATATTTATCTCATACTTCAATGAAACTTTTTAAAAGTCAGCAGAGCTAAATAACTACATCTTGCTTTTAAAAGGTCTGTTAAGTGTCATTCCAGTTATATCGGTGTTAACCACGTAGGGAGAATACGGCCATTTGTGTGATGCTGGTCTTTTCAACACCGAGAGGGGTCGGGAGGTTGTCAAAAGCGGGGAAGATCCCAACACAGCAACTGATACCGTGCCCAAACTTTTTCAAAAGAACACGAGGCGGCTACAGGAATCAGCTGGAGGCCATTCATGTCGACGGTGAACTTGGCCGAGTCCTGAGATTACAGGAGGGCTGGGAAGGGCAAGGGGTACGGATCTCATGGGTTGCAAGGTGTCCCCCTACTTGAGGTTATTTTGGGAACCAGCTCAGGAAAGCAACAAGCTCAGCTCATACTGAAATGCAGGATTTATTAAGGTGAAGCAGTTTTACGTTTCCAGGGAAAGAAAATTCTGCCCCAACAATCACACCCCACTTAAGCCTTGTGCTGGAGAACGCCGCGAAGGGAAAATGTCAGCTGTACTGCCCCCCAAAGCACTACCGTCCTCGTCTCAAACTAAAATTACAGCTAGATGCCGTTTGGCTTGGCCTCGTCCTGGTCTAGCAGAGGTTGGGGGCGAATGAACTCTGAAAGCATGCCGGTGCTGGATCTCTAATAAAATGTCTCTCTGTTTGCCCACATGGGCATCCAGCCTTAGCAAACAGAAGCAGGGGAGAACAATACTACCTGTTCATGGAGGAATGGTAATGGTTTCAGTCCCCCGAACAATGAGGTCTGTAATTTACTCCATCTTCCTCCTGAGAAAGAGCTTCACATGGCCTGCACCGTGCCAGGTGGTTTGGAGAAAGTCAAACTGCTCGGTCTCACAAGGGACGCTTCAGCAACGGGTGTAAAGACACAACAGCTGGTCTGGTCTCGGCTGGTCTCCCAGTGACATGGCCCCAGCCAGCCTTTCCACACCGAGATAGGGATCACTATGCTATTCAACTTCACCGATTCCCACACCCCGGGCAACAGGATTCTCCAGCACTCCACCAGACGTAGTAGGTCTCAGGACATTTGTCTGTTCCTCTACCCATTCATCAAGACCTAGGGTTTGGGCCTGTTCCCTCTCCTAGCCCTGAGACTAAACCAGTTTCAGGGGGCAAGACTCAATGTGCCAACATCAAGAAGCAGAAGGCCCAGCAGGAAGTGTGCCAACAGGAACAAGTGCGGCATCTAGCTAGAGACATCAGTCTGGAAAAGACGTGGGGATGGAGGGCGGTAAAACCACCTTCCCCTAAAATACACAGAGGGATCAGATCAGCAGCACACGGCAGGAGCAAACAAAATATTTTCCCAATACGCTCCTGTCGCCCTGAAACAAGCACAAAAACGTGAGGGAATCCATCAAACAAAAATGTCTGCAGAACCGTACTTTTTTCACTGGTGGAAGAATCCACAGTGTCGCTGGGGCCCATGGCTGCCTGAAAGCCTCATCCAGGAAGCTGCAGATTTGAAACGGGAGAGCTACAAAGACGGGACTATGGCTGTAGTTTGGTGAGACCACAGACGGACACACAAGTTATCTGCAACGGAACAGCATAAATTATTTCACCAACCGACATCCACTTCCGGGAAGAGGAGACCCAGAACCAGACTTCACCATCACCACAACAGGCTTCAAAAGCCTCTCTCCAGAGGGTTAAACCGGAACACTCCAGAAGTTTCGGCACCATTAGTTACACCATGAGTAACATCCATCCTGGCAGAGCCAGGCAAGGCAGACAGACGAAAATCGTATTAGTCTGCTCTCCCTCCACTACTGCATTCTGCTGGCACCAGTTCAGCTCCGAGTCTATATTAGTCTGTGATCTGTTTAGCCTTTGGATTTAAGAGAATGGAAGCACTACATGAGCAGGAAACCGGACACTCATCAGAAGCTGGGCTCTGTCACCTCTCCCTCCCAGCACCTTTAAGGACATACATCAACAGGTCCAAGAGAAATCAACATTTCAGGACAATCGGATCGAAAGTGATATTCTTAGCACCCCTTAGCGTGATCTGGATGCACCGGAAACAGCCCTCCGGCTGTCAGTAGCCCCCTCCCCCTCCCCTCCCCCCACCATTCTTCCAGGTCGGCCACCTCGTTTTGCTCTCAAATGAAGATCTTCCCTAAGCCAAAAACAATAGCCAAGCTGGGGTCTTGTGTGCCCATTACGCCTGATCAAGAAACTAAACACAAAACACAGGCTCCTCTTTCTTTCCATATTCTTTAAATCGTTTTGGCAGCATTTCTGCTCTTGTTTCTTTGCTTCCCACCTCCCCAAGTCAATCAACTACCACCAGCACCATCACCACCTTCACCATCGTCACCACCACCACCATCATCATCATCACCAACCATCATCCCCATCATCATCATCACCACTATCACCACCATCATCATCATCATCATCATCATCATCATCATCACCATCTAGATCGGGGGAAGGGGCAGAGAATAAAAGACACAAGAGACCTACTTATTGACAATTCAAGCTTCAGGATCTCTTGCATTTTCCTACCTGAATTGCAATCTGGTGTTCAATCGTTTTGTACGCAGAGTAATGTGTGCTCCCGGACTGAAAATGGAGCTGTAGAAAGAAACCAAATCAAAGCGTTCTGCTTATGTCACAAACTACAAGAAAACATCTTAAGCAGTTTATGAATAGCAGACAAACCTTCCTAGATTGAACTGCAGCCTTGGCATTCAATCAAGACCTGTGTATTTTTATTTGTTGCTATGGATAAGATAATCATCATAATCTAAGGTAAAGTTTAAAAAAAAAAAAAGCGTCTATTCAATAAGCGAAAAGGGAGGGGGGAGGGGGCCAAGAGTGAGAATCATTGACATGAAAAGGAAAGACGGACGCCCATTAAAACATAAAGGAAGCCAGTGTGCTGAGCAGGACGCTGCAGAAGAATTAACTGTGTGCTGCAAAAAGCCACGAGAATTGCGACACGTAGGTGTGAGGACAGGCAGTGAGAAAGGGTTCTGAGAAGCCACAAGACTGCAACAGGTACAAGACCCCCACTGTTCTGACAACTGGGCTCTTGCTCCTAAACACAATTCTATTCTGGGGAAAACAAATGTGTCAGGCAGAATTCAGGGGCCACCGATGCCTTATGCATTCTTCCGCAATGACTAAGCGATCCGTCCCAGAACGTCCCTATAGCCTGCACTCTAGGAATCCACACTTCCCCATAGAGGGAGCCAACCATTGCCAAAGAGCCACCAAGTTTTCTAAGGACGGCCTGTTCACTGGCCCCTGGGTGAATGCTCGTCCCTGGCTCCCTCAGATTCTCCACAACCGGGTGGGGGGCGGGACGACGAAGTCTCTCTCTCAGGCCTTCCCCTCTGAAGCCCTACAGAGCCCCCATCAAAGAAGTGGGTGTCCCCAAACAAAAAGGAATATGGAGATGCCTCGCCAAACTCTCCTTTCCCCAAATAACGCTGGTTAGTAGTGGGATCCTCCCGAGCAGGAAAACAAACACTATCATTTTATAAACAATACAACAGTCACTAAAGGATCTCAACGGTATCTGGAAATGCATTTTAATTTGCAACATATGAACAAACGAGGAGGAATCGCTGCTCATTCACCTCACAGCAAAAGGCAGCAGGGGCTCGCACTTCCAAACCACGGCTATTACTGCTACTATACTGTTGCTGTTACCAGAACACTTCCATAGTACTAGAACAAAGTGTAACCTAGCTTGCCAGTGAGTTTTAGATCCAATGATTTTGTTCACACAGTTCAGGACTGTTCAAAATCAGTCCGCCCAGGTTTGGCGGGGGGGGGGGGGGAAAAAAGGTGAGAAAAGGAAAAGAAGAAGAAGAAAAATGAAATTCACATAAGAACTTTTGAACCAACACAACACAGAAGCGATCAAATTTTTAAAATAGTCTGAATTTATACTGCTCATGAGATAAGGCTGGAAGTCCCCATTTTAGCATCCAATGGGCTCCTCTGAGATCATTGTAACTGCTCCAAAGAAACAATCAAAAACACCGCCTATAAATATTAGGAGACTGCTTGCCCCAAAACATAATACTAATCAAGGTGAAAAGAGGCCACAATAAAGATGAAGCCAGGAATGAATATATAGTGGTCCTTCGTCAATAGAAGCAGGCGTAAACACACTCCCTAAAACAACTAAAGACGAACACTGAGCAACTGACAGTAAGCCCATCCCCACACAGCCCAACCCCACACACACACACACACGCTCTGAAGCAGTTCATCTAAGTGAATTGCAGAAAAAGAAAGATGGTGCCCTTGAACCCCCCCTAGCCCCCAGCCTTCTATGAAAGCCAGTGAAGCAGGAGATTTGCACTAATTTCTGTGACAATTCCGCATCACTTTTTTTTTTTTTTTTCATTTTTTTTTTTCAACGTTTATTTAGTTTTGGGACAGAGAGAGACAGGGAGACGGGGAGGGGCAGAGAGAGAGGGGAGACACAGAATGAAACAGGCTCCAGGCTCTGAGCCATCAGCCACAGAGCCAGACGCGGGGCTGAACTCACGACCGCGAGATCGTGGCCTGGCTGAAGTCGGGACGTCGCTGCCGACATGCCAAGCCGCCCGCGCATCACTTTCAAACAACTTTTGTGCTAGGGACAGCTTTCTCTGCCAGGTTGGAATGCTTGGCTGGAGAGCAGCTCTTGTCTGAGGGGTGGGGGTTCGCTTACTCCGGAATGAGGAGGCAACAATGCTCTTTCATCCCCCTTTTCAGCAGGGTTTTATTCTCTTTTCCAACTGCCTGATTCAGAGCTTAATGGAAACTTGTCCAAGCTTTTCTTCCCACAAACCCTGTGGAGCCCTAGGCAATCTGTACTCAGGGTAACCACAGGAATCTCAGATTGTCAATTAAAATTGAATGGACACCTGATAACTATATGTCGTGGAAACCAAATTTCATATAATCACAGGCTTGTGAATAAATTAATGAAACTGTGGCTAATCCAAATTCAATTTTCACTTGTCCGGTTCCATTCTTAATCCTTGCGTCCAATCACCACCCAAATAACACAATCCCAGAGAGAACGCTGCAATTAAAACAGGAAAAATGCAACTGCAAGGTCCTTAAGAATGTAGTTGGACAAAGTTAATTTCACACACACACACACACACACACACACACACACACACACCATTTTAACACCCCCAAGCAATGTAACTTCCCTCCTCAGGTGTCCAGACAAACCGAATAACCCGGACCAGCTCATAAATACACACAGCACAAGCTCCAATCAGATCTTTACTCCCAGCCAGTAACCACTGCGCTGGAGAGATATGGAGCTAAACTTCCGCCAGCTACAGTGACACAGACTTACAATTTTCTTGTTGCTCCTTTGGGTTTCCACCCCCTCTTGTACCAAATGCTGTTTTCTTAAACATAACACTTTAAACTGCTTTTTGCTTCCCTGTAAAACACAAAGCTGCCTTGTTCCTTATAGTCCAGCTTTTTAAGACAAAGACAAAATACAAGGACCCAGTAAAACCTTGGCTTTCTAGACTGGAACAAGAATTTACTTCTCTCTCTGTAAAAAATCTATTAAGAAAGGAAAGAACAAGAGAGGGTGGCCGTTTCTTTTTCAAATCGATGAGGGGAGGTTCGGAGATCCATCTAAGGATCAGCCATCTAAGGCCCATCTGAGTTTAGGAACCTCTACCCCTGGGGCTGCCCTGCTCTTGGTCACCTGCAGCAAGCACTCCGCAGCGTCACTTCCTCGGCCAGCAGGTGCAGCTTATACCTTGGGCATGCAGTGCGTCCTCAACATGGTGCCTCCCTAGGGCATCCTGGGGCTTCACCAGATGAGAACTCCAGGGGACCTTTCCTTCAATTCCTTCCCATGAAACCCTCAACAAAATAAACCTTCCCTTCCTGTGTGCTTGTTTACAATGGCCAAGCCCACCCACCCATGCTAACACCCCCAGATGATCTGGCCCTCACTTGTCCAGAGGAAGAACCATAAAGAGGCGGCTGTGCCCAGCACAGGATTGCACAATTCCCCGGCAATTAAAAAACCAACAATTTACAATTAACTGCTTCCCTTATGATGATCATATCGTGATGGCTCTTGGTTTATTTCTAATCACTACCACTGGCCCTCAATTTGCTGTTTCAGATATAAGACATCAGAGACACCAGAGACGAGAGAAAAAGGAAAACCACGTTTTCATCCACAGACATCTCCTCCTCAAAGGGGACCCTGTGTTGGTTTCTCCCACACTAAGTGAACTTCCAGTGTTCAGAAGATTAATTTCTTATACCTATTCATTCCACTAAATTGGTAAGAGGTGGAGCATTCGTTTTATTGTCACCTGGCTTTCTCTTTTATTAAAACAAACAAACAACAATCCAATCCAGATTCATTCCCTAAAAAGTTTTGGTTTTGGGGACCTGGGGTCCACCTTCTACCCTATAGCCACTACCATGAGCCACTTGAAGTTTAATTTCCGTGTCATTAACTTAAAAGACAGATAATTTTGGGGCGCCTGGTTGGCTCAGTGGGTTAAGCGTCCGACTTCAGCTCAGGTCATGATCTCACGGTTCATGAGTTCAAGCCCCGTGTCGGGCTCTGTGCTGACAGCTCAGAGCCTGGAGCCTGCTTCAGATTCTGTGTCTCCCTCTCTCTCGGCCCCTCCCCTGCTCACGTTCTGTCTGTCTCTCTCAAAAAGAAATAAACATTACAAAAAAAAAAAAGAGAGAGAGAGAATATTTTTGTCGTTAGTAGGTCTAAGGCATTTTCTTCGGTCATCAGGCACCGTTAGGGACAGAGGCAGCAGCCCTGTGCTGCGAACCTCTTACATTTAATGGGAAATACAATCCTGATCAGGCCTCTGGGCTACCCTGCCTGCCCTTTTAAAAAGTGCCAAGGGGACCTCTACCTTCCATAGGGAAGGCAAAAGCAGCACTGACTGGTAGGTGTGCCGGTTTAAACATCCCTCGCCAGACCTAGACACCGAACATTTGTACCATCCTAAAAACAACAACGTAACAAAGGCATCCCCTTTTCACTTCCTGGCATTCTGCTTCAGAAATTCTGCCGCAGCAAAACGCATGCCTTCAGACACCAGAACAATCTCTCCTACTGTCTCGATGTTCCATCCAATGTCTATTTACCCTCATTAATTTTTCTTTTCTTTTCCTCAACCTGAAACCATCAGCTATGAGTCAGAGAATGATCATTAACTTTTACAGCTTCCATACACATCCACCTACTCACATTTGGGGAAAGAAGACTTGCAACATTGCCTGAGACCAAAATCCTCCATGAAAGAAAAGGGAAGAAAAAAAAAAAATCACTTCAAGAAAGTTATAGCTGTAGGTGTATGGGGGTTGGGGGGGGTGGGGTTACATTCATTGTTTTTCCACTTGGTGCCGCAAATCTGGAGCAAAAAAAAGAAAAGTTGAACTTGGTTACGGTGATAGGGATTTCTGGGTTGATTTCTGAAGAAAAACGAGATGATTTTCTTTAAACATCAAAACATAATTAAAGTTCTTAAACTGTGTGTGGGGGGGGGAATGAAGTGAATCAAATTTCCTGCTCTTGTACAAAACACATTTCTAGCATAGAAAAACACGTG